CAGTGGTGGTGTTCTGTGGGAAAGGAGCCAGTACTTCATGCTTCTGTACCCTTCCAAAGCCAGGCGTTCTGCTCACCAAATCAGAAGAAACATAAGGATCTACATTTGGAACCCAATCTAGGATTGCCAACTTGGCATCTGGTCTGGAAAGTTGGCAACCCTAATGCAGTCCAAGAATTCTTACTCATGCAAAAATATCTTTTAAGTCAGTAAGATTGAATGGGGTGTAATTCCAGGAAGAGCTTGACCCAAATGGTATTTTGCCTGAATAAGAACTCCAGAGGAGAGCCTTTTATGTGTTTCATTTTAAGGTGGGCTATCTGAAATCATTAAAAACATAAACCATGTCTACATTTGAAATTAGGACATTAAGGTACTGTCTGTAAATTAATCAAAAATATAATCCGGCACTTTGTTTCTTAGAGAGATTCTACTTATATTACCATAAGCATTTTTGAAATTGGCCATTTTATATAAAAAACTGGTAAGTATTTGTTGGAACTTAATAACTAATGAAGGAAAAATAGTGCTGCCAAATAGTCGCCAAATCCTGGTCTCTAAAGAGCTTTAACAAAACTAATTTTTCAGGAAAGGTGAAGGGAGAATAATTTTAGTCCCCAGATTTTTTTTTTTTTTACAAATTATTCATTTTGAAAACTAAAACTTGCAATAGAAAAAAGGAGAAGCTGGTCTTTAAAGAGCTATTTTATTTTTATAATGTTACCTGTAAATCTTTTAAATGTAAGAATCGGGATGCAATCCTCAATGAGAGATTTTTGTAAGCAAGACTTACAAGATCATGTCCAAATTGTATTTTATGGGAAAATTTATTTTACTGTTACTACTTTGTTCTGAAAGAAAACATTTCAGCTATTTTAAATTGTATTATACATTAAAACCCAAATAAAAATAAAAATATTACTACTTGTAAATAAAATAAATTATTACAGAATTCAGTTTAAGTTCACTCTGACACAAACTTTGGATTGCATCTTGTCTTTCGAGACTATTCAAAACTTTAAAATCAAGAGCAATCTTGTATTGCAATGGCTTTGAGACTGAATCTGAAAGTTCACTTTATTACTGCTGTCAGACATTTCTAATTTAACTTGCTTTTAATTAAAATATAATTTTGGAGGTGGGACACATTCATAATTCACATTTTTTAATACAGAAAAGTCAGTAAATTGCAACTTTTAATGGAAAGGCTGCTGTTTTATACATTTTTAGTTTAAAAATACAATTGTCCTGTATTTTATAGCTTCAGTCAGGAAGAAATTTTTGAGGCTTTCTGTATGCATTTATCTCTAAAAACAAGGTTATTTTGCTTTTTAAACAAAAATACAAAGTAGATTACAACTTTGAACTTAAAGTGTACAGCTCAGCCATTTCTAGATGGTCAGATCTACAGTTGTCTAAAAAAACTTTTAAAAGTGTCTAACTTTAAAAAATGAAAAGCAGAGTGTTAGATAGAGCATGGAAAATAATAATGTCTGTGTGCGGTGGCTGCATGTCTTTTTCTTTCCCTCTGCTTATTCTCTCTCCGTGTGGCTGGCAACCCTTGCTCTGTGCTGTGCTTGAGCTGTGCAGTGCAGTGCAGTGCTCTCCTCTCTCCCTTTCTCTTTCTCTCTCTTCCCCCCTCCCTGCCTCCCTCCCTTCTCTCTGTCTCTCGCTCTCTCTCTCTCTCTCTCTTACACTGCCAGCCCCTGATGTGATGGCGAAGAAACCCCGTTGACAAGGCACTGCTTTTTCATGACGGTGAGTTTCCCTTTGAGTGTATTATAATTTTGTGATAAAAATTTCAAGGAAAAAAAAACACACAACCTCCTTCCTCCCTTCCTTCGGGGAGGGAAAAGAGAGGGGGGAAATCTATCTCCAGACAGACAGAAAAGAAAGAGGAGCAAATTAACAACCAGGAGTTGCCAAAACCAGGATATTAGGTTTCAGCCCAGAGAGCTATTGGCTCTGGGGCTATGTATATAAATATATATCTAGAGAGAGCGAGAGGGGAGACAGCGAGAAAGAAGAGGGATATTTGGGTGGGTGGTTGGTGTCGGGCAGATGCTAATTCACATGGAAATGAAATATTTATTTCTTTTTCAGCGAGGCTGCGGTGGTGGCTGCTGAGGCCACTTGGAAAAAAAAAAGTTGTTTCTTAAAATAAAGAGGAGAGAGAGAGGCGAGGGATAAGGTTTCAGGTCCAGGCTGATAACTGCAGAGAGGGGAGAGGTTTGGGGTGTTTTTCCCCCTCTTCTTGCTGATGCCATGCAAATGCAGGAGAGGAGGGAAAAAAATCTTTTAATGACTCATTGATTGAGCTGGTTTAAAATTAGTTGTTGGTCTTTTTTTTATTTTCCGCCCCCTTGATGGCCATCAAGAGAGGGTTAGAAAGAGGAGAGGGAGAGGGAGTGTGTGTGTGTGTGTGTGAGAGGAGAGAGGGGGATAGAGAGAGTGTGAGAGGGAGAAAGAAAAATAATCTTTTCAAATCTCCTCCCTCTTTTTTCCCCCCTCGTTTCTTTGCTTTTCTCT